TATTATCTTCTCACTAATCACTTAATGTCTGACTTCTTAGGCCGCGAGCCCTAGCAGTGGCTGAGAGACTGTGGAGTTCGCGGGATGTGAAGAACCCATGGACTGCCAACAGGAGATTCAATAGACAACACTGTCTTATGTATGACCTGTCGTCCCCAATCAACTGATCACACATTAACTGTAATTATGATCTGATTTAAGGCAAACTCGTGGTCTTCGTGTGGAGCCATCCAATGGTGTCGGGTATTGTCAATGCGATTATCTCCTCTGAAAACACATACTTTTTACACTAATTTTATTTATAATAAATTTTGCACAAATAAAGTTCACATTTAACCCACTAACGTTAGTCACAACTCTATAAATCACACTAAATAGTGATTAACAAGCTCATTTTAAAAGTAACAAAAAAGTTTTCAAAACTTTCCAAAGTTGACAGCAATTCAACAGCACTTGTATTGACATCTATTGCTGACTTCAAACTTCATAAAAGGTTTTTCACTACAAAACTCCAATCGCGATGCAATGATACACATTCCGGGGCCTAATGTTAATCCAATGAGAGCTCCAAACCTGTATTGAAACAAATGAATGCATTTTAATGACTGTTTTCATAGAGACATGAAAATGTGATTTAAATTGACTTTTATTTACATTTTGTAATCACTATTGAGATCAAGAAGTCTTCGCCGCCGAAGTAGTCATGCATTTGGACGTCGAGAGCGGTCAGCAGCTGATCCACAGTCGCCTCCCGAGGAGCCAATCGCAGTCACTGGCGATATCTCTGCGACGGGTAACCACTTTCACTGATCATATGTTTGTTGTTTCGCCCGAAGACTTAATTGTATTTATGTGTGAATTGGTGGCAGCGGTGGAAAGGCTTACCACGGATGGCACGACTGTATCTCATGATAGGACTAGTGGTGACCATATTCTTGATTCTCGTGCTATATCTGCCGAGGAATGAGCCGTTCGTTGAAGCGATAGATAAGAATCCAGTGCTAAGTCCTCAGCCGAGAACCGATGGACTCGACGATCAGATAATCAATAATAAGCCAAACAATCAATTAATTAAACCCATAGTTAGTGACAATAATAATGACAATGATTTCAGACACGACCGCAGAGTCTATACGCAGAGCAGCGATCACACGATCGCCACAATCGACGGCTTATCGCTGAATGTCTTCAAAGAGTCGGCGCAAAGGCTTGAGTCCAGCGAACAGAAGGCCATCGTCGAGGCGCTGAGACACTCGTGGGAGGCGTACCGGGAGTACGCGTGGGGGGCCGACCACCTCAGGCCCATCACTAAATCCAAACACAACTGGTTTAGTGTCACTAAACCAGTTGTGTTTGGATTTAGTGATGGGCCTGAGGTGGTCGGCCCCCCACGCGTACTCCCGGTACGCCTCCCACGAGTGTCTCAGCGCCTCGACGATGGCCTTCTGTTCGCTGGACTCAAGTCTTTGCGCCGACTCTTTGAAGACATTCAGCGATAAGCCGTCGATTGTGGCGATCGTGTGATCGCTGCTCTGCGTATAGACTCTGCGGTCGCGTCTGAAATCATTGTCATTATCTGTATTGTCATTAACTATGGGTTTAATTAATTGATTGTTTGGTTTATTATTCATTATCTGGTCGTCGAGTCTATCGGTTCTTGGCTGAGGAGGACTTAGCACTGGATTCTTATCAATCGCTTCAACGAACGGCTCATTCCTCGGCAGATACAGCACGAGAATCAAGAATATGGTCACCACTAGTCCTATCATGAGATACAGTCGTGCCATCCGTGGTAAGCCTTTCCACCGCTGCCACCAATTCACACATAAATACAATTAAGTCTTCGGCCGAAACAAAAACATATGATCAGTGAAAGTGGTTACCCGTCGCAGAGATATCGCCAGTGACTGCGATTGGCTCCTCGGGAGGCGACTGTGGATCAGCTGTTGACCGCTCTCGACGTCCAAATGCATGACTACTTCGGCGGCGAAGACTTCTTGATCTCAATAGTGATTACAAAATGTAAATAAAAGTCAATTGAAATCACATTTTGATGTCTCTATGAAAACAGTCATTAAAATGCATTCATTTGTTTCAATACAGGTTTGCAGCTCTCATTGGATTAACATTAGGCCCTGGAATGTGTATCATTGCATCGCGATTGGAGTTTTGCAGTGAAAAACCTTTTATGAAGTTTGAAGTCAGCAATAGATGTCAATACAAGTGCTGTTGAATTGCTGTTAACTTTGGAAAGTTTTGAAAACTTTTTTGTTACTCTTAAAATGAGCTTGTTAATCACAATTAATGTGATTTATATAGTTGTGGCTAACGTTAGTCGGTTAAATGTGAACTTTATTTGTGCAAAATTTATTATAAATAAAATTAGTGTAAAAAGTTTGTGTTTTCAGAGGAGATAATCGCATTGACAATACCCGACACCATTGGATGGCTCCACACGAAGACCACGAGTTTGCCTTAAATCAGATCATAATTACAGTTAATGTGAGATCAGTTGATTGGGAACGACAGGTCATACATAAGACAGTGCTGTCTATTGAATCTCCTGTTGGCAGTCCATGGGTTCTTCACATCCCGCGAACTCCACAGTCTCTCAGCCACTGCTAGGGCTCGCGGCCTAAGAAGTCAGACATTAAGTGATTAGTGAGAAGATAATACACAAGCAGATGATGGCAGACCAGGTGCGTCCGATTACGTTGGATCCATCCACCCATTCCCCTATCGCACAGGTATTTTAATCATACATTACTTATTCATTCAATTGGAAAGGGATGCAAGTCTTACCCCAAATTGTAGCCTCGCCTCCGATCACAAGACTATACTGTTGTTCAGTGCCTTTGAAACTAAATGGTTCACACGTGTAGTACTTATGCCAATCGGTTCCATAGGATATCTTATTTAAATACCAACACGAAGACAGTATTGTCTGAAACCCATTTTTAGTCACGTTTGAGAGCTCGAGTGGCCAGTTGTCTAACTTCCACACATGTATTATAGTGTCATTAGTCATCTTCGCCCCGTTGTCAAACACCTCCTGCCATACAATGGAACTCCTGTTCCACTTCTTGACCATATCAATGACTTTGAGGATATAGTATTCCTCGAGTTTAGCGTACGGTTCGTTAGACTTCTTGTTTGCGGTCGAAGAGGAAACGGTCTTTTTGATCATATTTTTGCTTTTCATGAAATCATTGATGTGAGGGTTAGACCGCCAGCAGTTGTAGTCCACTTCATCGCCGCCCAAATGGAAGTATTGATCCGGAAATCTGTCTAAAATCTCTTTGAATAGGGTTTCAATGAAGTTATAAGTGGATTGTTTGCTCGGATCTATGGGACCGTATATGCCGTTCGGCTTTCCATTTGTATAGCAAGGGGTCAATAGACCCGGCTGTCCCTTACCCCACGCGAGTGTATGACCCGGAGTGTCAAACTCGACCACTACTCTAATCCCTCTATCGTTCGCGTAATCAATGATGTGTTGAATGTCTTGTTTGGTATAGATATGTGTTTTCGGATTATAAGCCCCTCTAAGACTCAGATCGGGAAACACTTGACTCACGTATGGGAACGACTGGTCGTCAGTCATATGCCAGTGAAAGACATTGAGCTTATTGTAGGCCATGGCGTCTAGACTTTGCTCCAGTCTATGAATCGGCAGATAATGACGTGAAGTGTCCAGAAGAAGGCCTCTGTATTTAAATCGCGGGAAATCCGTGACCGACGTGTAGTTTACAATGAATTGGTTGAGTCCGACGTTTTCGATGAGTTGCGAGAGGGTCTCGAAGGCACGTATAGCTCCCCAAACACTCTCGGCGTATATGAGGGCCGTCTGGTCGTTGATATCGATCGTATAGTTTTCATTCATTTCTAAATGGGTGTCAGTTTCGCACTCCTCGCTCACCAAAACTGTTATGTTATTCAGGAGTCCCTTATAATTAGGATCTTTAGACAATTCCCTGCGACTGTCATAGAGTGTCGATGTCTTTTGGTGACCGCCTCTGTCGCTGACCAGAGAACAGTCTTCAATGAACAACAGCTTCCTGTATCTGGCGATGGCTTTGTCCAATAGATCGCACTTTTTGCTGATTATGGACACGAAGTTAAATGATTTGGGATTTATGGCGTAAAACGACTCGTTTGTGATGAGTATCTGTGGCATTGGCCATACATTGTCACCGAGGGATGAGTTTGACTACAAAATAATATCTGTTATTACTCTGTAAATTAAATAAAGATTAATTTTAAAATTAAAGTTTACATTAAGCTTAATATCTTTAGAAGTTCTCCCTTTAAATCCCTTTCCATTTGTGGACACAAGACATAAGGAAAATATGAATAAAATTAAAAATAGTATTAAACTTTTCATTGTTCATAGAGTTTTTAAACAATTTTGCAAAAAAATATTTAATAAAAGTTATGGATTATGTTATAAATTAGTTTAATGTAGTTATACGAGTAGTAGAGTAATGAATGCCCGTATAGAGTGATTGGTGAATAATTTACAAAATAATTCATAAACCAACATAATTAACAATTTTTTTTATTTTGGAAATTTTTGTTTCCGATTTGTACTCAATAAATATTATCTTTGGTTTAATTTACTTTATTCATAGCAATAACTATACTTTATATTTGCCTCGTTTTTTTGTATTTCAATAATTTATTTGTTTAAAAATTTAACAAAATTAAGTGTGCAATCCTATGTGGATCCGTGTATTTGAGGGTTAATCCTAAGTTTATATCTAAATTTGGGTTTTGTAATTTTAGTGGAAATACAATAACTTATTTACCCTAATAACGTTAAGAATTAATCTAAAAAAGTTTAATGGTTCTTAAATTTTTATTTTGTAAATTTTATTTACTATAACAAAAAGTGTAAATTAGTAGATTAATATGAATTAACATTTTGAGTTTAATTTATATCTTCACTTTTAGTCTGTGACCTTATTTTTAAAAGACATTTCACTAAATATTATTAACAGAATGTTATCACAAATAATGAAATTTAATATAATATTATCATAATGGATTTGAAACATCTGCTACACCATGGCATCAATATAACAGTAATATTAATATTAAAACAAAACAAAATATGTTTACAAATGATTTTTTATTGCAAAAATAAATTTACAAAAGAATCCACTAACTTTATTTATAAGAAATAATATCTGAAAACATAACAAGGTTTACTGAGTATTGATGGACTCAAATGGCATAATCGCATTGACAAAATCCGGGTCCATTAGCCGGCTCCACATTAATTCCTCGTTGTTGCCTATTATTCACAAATAATTGAAATTAAAATCACATTTCATATAAATTGGTTGCAGACATACATCAGACAGTGTTGTCGATTAAATCTGGGGTTTGCGAGGTTGATGTCAGTCAGCGTTTTAGAGCTCCACAGCCTTTCGGCCACAGCTATAGCCCGGGGCCTAACAGACAGACACAGAAAATAAAATTAATAACTTTTATAAATTGTTGTTAAGATTACAAACCAGGTTCTGCTGATAACGTTAGTGCCATCAACCCATTCACCTGTTAATTCATTTCAATGAAAATATATTAAAACTTTTGATTTATACCGATTACGACATGCCTTACCCCACATACAGGCCTCTCCCCCAATCACCAGTTTAGCCTGTTCCTCAGGGGCGCCGAAGTTTTGGGGATCACAGGCGTAATATTTAGGCCAATCTGTGCCATAGCTAATGTAATTCAAGTACCAACACGAGGACAGTAGGGCCTGGTAGCCTTGTTTTGTCACTTTTTGCATTTCTATCTCCCAGTTGTCTTTCCACACGTGTATTAAGGTGTCACTCTTGGGCACAACCCCCTCGTCCAGCACTTCCTGCCACACGATATAACTCTTATCCAAACCCCTGACGATGTCTAACAGCCCTTCGATGTAATACTGAAATATTTGCGGAACTGATGTAAAATTCTTGGATTTCATGAATTGTTGAACGTCTGGGTTAAGTACCCAACACTGCAGGTTCACTTCATCGCCCCCTAAATGCAAGTACTGATCCGGAAATCTCTTCACCACTTCTGTAAACAACTCTTTGATGAACTCATACGAAGAGTTCTTTGATGGATCTATTGGCCCATATGTTCCGTCAGGCTTTCCACTCGTATAACACGGCGTCAAAAGGCCCGGCTGTCCCTTTCCCCACGACTCTGTGTGTCCGGGAGTATCAAACTCTACTAACACTCTGATAGCCCTCTCAGCCCCATAATCAATGATTTGTTGAATTTCTTGATCCGTATAGATGTGTGTCTTTGGATTAAAAGCTCCCTTAAGACTAAGTTCCGGAAACTTTTGGCTCACATATGGGAACGAATTGTCGTCAACGATATGCCAATGAAATACATTCAACTTATTGAAAGCCATTGCATCCAAATTCTCGAGCAGTTCCCGGACGGGTACGTAGTGTCGGGAGGTGTCGAGCATAACCCCCCGGTGCGCAAATCGAGGGTAATCGAGGATTTCGGTCTCATTGATAATGAACTGGTTTTGACCCACATTTTGGATCAGTTGCGAGAAGGTCTCCAACGCCTGTATGGCTCCCCAGACATTCTCGGCGTAGATGTCAGTGATTTGTGGGTTTATACTAATTGAATACATTTCATTCATATTCATGTGGGGCTGGGTTTCGCACGGGTTTTGCACCGTTAGGGTTATGTTCGCCACATCTCCCAAATAGTCGGCGTTTTGCCGTAAATTCAATTGACTGTCGAATAGACTTTCGATGGCATTAGCGCTGACTAGAGAGCAGTCTTCGAGGAAAAGTAGTTTCTTATATCTTGCGATCGCTTTGTCCAACAAATCGCACTTTCCTTTTGCCGTAAATTCAATTGACTGTCGAATAGACTTTCGATGGCATTAGCGCTGACTAGAGAGCAGTCTTCGAGGAAAAGTAGTTTCTTATATCTTGCGATCGCTTTGTCCAACAAATCGCACTTTCCTTGAGTTTTCACCACAAATGCGAACTCCTTTGAGTTGATTGTGAAAAATGTTTTGTCGATTTTGGCCACTTGTGGGTACGGCCATATGTTACCGGTGCTCTCGGCACTGACCTGAATATGTATGTAATTAAATATTGAGTTATATTTTATGTAGTTTAAAAATTATGGTCGTATTGTATTGGTTATAAATATAACAATATACAACACTTATGTGCAAATAATATGAATATAATGAGTAAATTACTTGAGTTCCGTAGACAACAATTAATCCAAATATAAACACAATTAGATTCATGATTGAAACACACAAATAATTGTGTACTCCCTCTCAAAACATTTTAAATACACAATTCATTTGTAGATAACTGTTGAAATGGGAAACACTGTAGAAGTTTGAAGTGATTTGAAAGTCCATTCACGATATGTACGACAATTGATCCACTTTTTTATATATCATTAATTTGTCTCAAAGTATTGTGTTTTTAGATAATGCTGATATCATTTTGTTAACTAAACACTTTTGTATTAAATAAACTATTTATTTTAATTGTGGTTTAAGTAATAATAATTAGATTTCTTAAAAATTAAGACAAATATTCAAATGAATGAATTATTATTTTATTGCATTATTATTTATCTCATAGCACAAATTAATATACATGAATTGATAAATAACTGGATGTTTTTTAAGTCAATACACTCTATCACTGGTTTTATCAATTAATATCAATTAAATATNTACAGTAAGTGTAATTTATTATCAATGATATACTGTGTAAACGAAGTGATTAGTGACGATATAATGATGAATACTGAACACTATTTTATTACTAAATTATAAAATAAAATTATTAAATTTTTATTAAACACATATACACTAAATTGAATGAAATGCTGAATAGAATTACTACAATGATAAATAGTAAATATCCAGGTGCAAAAAAATATACAATACAATACTATTTTATTTTATTTTATTTTATAAATGTGTTTTGGCTATAAATTAAAAATTATTTACAATATATTATTTACTTTTATAGTAATTATTCCCATTTTTATACTTTGCCAGTAAATAACATTAAAATTGATATAACTTATTATTGAATCGAGTGCAGTATTTATAGTAATTGTCAGGTTATTTTAAACTTGTACTAGTATAATAGTGCATAGCAATATTATGTTATTATTAATATAGAATTTTTCTAGCATATTCTGAAAAAATATTATTAACAGTAAGCACAATTCAGTTTACCACATACTATGTATACAAAGTATACAAAGTAGATTCCCATATTTTCGTTATAGTATATTTTCATGCCATTTATTCATTTGCATTAATAGCTCTAAATTATGAGCTGACCATTATTAGATGACAAATTTATTATTTATCATTTAGAAAAATATAAATATATAATAATATTAGCTACAATGAAATAACAGTTAGCAATATAAATGAGATTCAATGTTAATTTAATTTATAATTTATAATAATTCTAATATAAGTTTGCCTAAATGTCATGTTTATTTTTTCACCTGAATAGCTATGTTTACATCATAACACAATTGTGTAATTATATTAGTTTTTATTTTTGCTATATAATAATTATTAGACTTTGCATTGAATTTATACTGATATATTCTTGTGTAGTAAGCATATTACTTAATACAATAGGATTACATTAAGTCAAATACAACTCAACATTCAATATAAATGATTAGATTTTATATAAAGAGTAAACATGTTTAATCAAATTTTTAT